CCACATTCACTAAGGAAATGTTAAAGGAATTGAGAGTGCTGGGGTCCCAGATTCCTGAGTTCTGACGGGGGGCTGAGGCAGGGGGCTCAGGAAACAGGTTCAGATTTGGCCCCCGCTCTCCTTATCCTCCTTCTCTTGGTCTCTTCCAGGCCCCATCCTGGGCCCCGGGGCCATCGCTGGCATCGTCCTGGGCTCCCTACTGGGCCTGGGACTCCTGGCAGCACTTCTCATCCTGGGCATCTGCTATCTGTGCCGCTTTCAAGGTGAGTGAGTGACCGAGTGGTAGGTTCCCTACAAAGAGTCCCATTGGTTCAGCATCTGAACCAATCAGCAGCAGTTACCTCATCCAACCTGCCTGCCTACCTCCATATCAGCCAATCAGCGTAAGGCTCCACCTCTCAGCCCAGTTTCCCTTGCCGTTGACTGCGTGGGGGTGTCAGAGCAGCCAATCAACTGCTTCTATTTCTCTTCCTCCTCCCTTTCCCAGGAAAGACTCCTAACAGAAAGAAGAGTACGCCCAGGTTGACCCCTGTATTCACCGTACCGGAAAATAGGATGCAGAGCGTGACCCCAGAGCAGACCCCACAGCCTCTGCCCCTCGAAGTTCCTCTGAAGGACCCTAGCCCAACCAGAGCCCACTCAGTGAGTGTGGGTGCCCCAGTGTCCTGGAATGGGGTGGAACTTTTTTGTGTTTTAGTCAGGCAGAGGAGATGGTTTGAATTCTCTTCCTCCAGCTTTTCTTATTGGTTTACAAAATTGGTAGATTTTCCGTCTTTTTTTTTTTTTTTAATATATAAAAGTTGGACAGGACTTCCCATCCAATTTTTATATATATTAAAAGAAGTGCGAAATTCCAATTCCTCCCCCGCCAAATGAAGGAAAACGCCTTCATTCTTTTCCATAAAAATTGGCAAAACTTCCATTTTCTCTCCGAAGTGGGATAGAACGTCTTCTTCCCCATAAAATTTGGGTTGTTGCATGTCTTATCTCTCCCAAGGGTGGCTAGACACTTTTTCCTCCTTGCAAACGGAGGGAACTCAGCTAATTTTGGAATGGTGCGAGCTAGCTCTAGAAAAGGGTGAGTTATGTCACATCCAGGGCAACCCCTGAAGTTGTCCCCCTTCCCTCCCTTCCAGGCCTCTGGTCCGAGGACAGTCAGCTTTCCACGTGGGGACCCCAAGATTGCTCGGACAGCCACGCACGTGTGACCAGGGCTAGTGGCCTGCTCTGCGCAGGACTTTTGGGGCGGGACTTCCTGTTTCACTCCAGCAGCAGTAGGGGAACTCCTGTCCTGTTGTGACTGAAGGTTGGACCCGTAAGGTGGGACTTCCTGTCTCCCTCTCTCAGCGCAGAAGACTCGCCTTGTATTTGTGCAGCTAAGGAGATGGGACTTCTGGGCTAGGAGGGACTCCTGCTGACCTAACAGTGTGACCTGCACAACCTCCAACCAGTCAAGGGCCTGTGGCCGACTGGGAGGGCTTGCTGTGCTGCCCCGAGCTGGAGAGGGCGGCCTGCCTCCATTCTCTAGAAAGGTCTTCCTATGTCAACGTTTGCCTGCTTCAGGCCACACTCCATCCAGCTCCCGGGGTCTTCCTCTTGGATCAGATCGCGTTCCTCTTCTCTTTAAGCCCTTCTATGGCTGCCCGTTGCCCTTCAGATATTGTCCAAACTCCTCATCATGACCTTCAGAGTCTTGTGGTTTGGCCTCTGTCAGCCTCTCTGACCTTCCCTTCCAGAAGTTTCACCCCTGCTTCTCTCCACCATACTTAAGTTTGCCTCCAGGCCTTTGCTCCCAGAGTGTATCGTGCCTGGAGCAACATTCTTTGCTCTATGTCATTCATTTTTTTTGCGGTACGCGGGCCTCTCAGTGTTGTGGCCTCTCCCGTTGCGGAGCACAGGCTCACGCACAGGCTCAGTGGCCATGGCTCACGGGCCCAGCCGCTCTGCAGCATGTGGGATCCTCCCGGACCAGGGCACGAACCCATGTCCCCTGCATCGGCAGGTGGACTCTCAACCACTGCGCCACCAGGGAAGACCTATGTCATTCATTTTTCAAGTGTAAAGGTAACCGTTACCATCTTAGAGGACCCTTCCCTAACCCATGACCTTAACGTGCCTCAGTCATGGGTTTAGGTCCCAGAGGCCCTGAACCACCTGCTCCTTGTATTTAAACATAACTATTTGTTTAGCCTCCGACCCCCTCTTAACCGGGAGCGCCACGAAGGTGGAGACCGTGTCATTATCCCCAGCGCTTAACACAGAGTTTGGTACACAGCAGGCCATCCATATTTGTTGACTGATCAAGTATTTGGGGCCAGTGAAGGACTGGGCTTGCTGCTGCCATCCCCAGCAGGATGGCCTCCTTTTCCACCTGGGTTTCTCATTGGAAATTTAAGGAGTGCATCAGTGAAGATTCTTTCGGCTGTAAGTAACAAAATAAATGATGGCAAGGGATGGAGGTAGGTGGTTTCAGGCTGACTCAGCAACTTAGTGACCCCATCAAGTACCTGGGTACTTTGTGTCCTTCTGCTCTGCCACCCTCAGTGGGTCAGCATATTGCCTCACGTAGCAAAATGGCTGCTGCAGCTCAGATCTTCACGCAACTGTATCTGACGACAAAAGGAAGGGAGCAGCGTTCCTCTACTCTCATGAGTGGGGGAAAAAATTTCCTGGAAGCCTAACAGTAAACTTCCCTTATGTCTCATTGAGCAAAAACTGGCCACATCACTGCAAGGGAGGCTGGGCAACCAAATATCTCAGCCTGTATCGTGGGAGGTGGGCAAAGAGGAAAGGGGCAACAACTAAAGTATAGGCAACCAGCGTCTGTCTCAAGGAAGGAAAGGATTCTGGTTAAAGATTGGGGTGGAAGAGGCCTTTAGGAAATACAGTCCTTGGATCTTTTTAAAAAGGTGGTGGCTGGGGTCCTGGATACCTGGACTCTCTACATCTGTATCAGCTAGAATTTTCATTTCCTTTTTAATCACTAGAAACAGAAAACCTAGCATGAGTTGGCTTAAACATACATGGGACGTTATTGCTTATGTAAGTGAATGTGGGCATCAGGTAAGTTTTGATCCACTTGCTCCAGTGATGTCATATGGACCCAGTTTCTCTAGACCTTCCACTCTGCATTCCGTAGTGTTTCTGTCATTCTCAGGCTCCACGTGTTGTCTTCCCCACCGTGGCTATCCCCATAGACCCAAGATCTCTCCATGCGATGGGAAAAGGAGCCCTGCAGATCCAGACTTCACGCCATTGAGCCGCGTGATGCAGCAGAAGAGCGTCTCTTCTTAGGAAATCCACACAGCTCTGGTGTTCACTCTCTCAGTGGGCTGGCTGGGTCACGTGCCCACCTCTGAACCAGTCACAGTGGGAAGCGGGCTATGCTGAGTGGCTTAAGCCAATCGTGCCACCTCTGCAAATGGGTCAGTTGCAAATCTACCAGAGAGAAAAGGGAGGGCAGAAGTGACGCTGGGGAGGCACCACCGATGACCACAACTCTGCCCTCCACTCACCCATATCCTTAATGACATTGACACCTGCAGGCGGAGGCTTTGGAAAAAGGCGTTTATTGGTGTGGTGGTCTCAACACTCCCCATGACTTGGAACACACGGCCCCCAGGGCCCCCCGCCCCCCCTCCCTTGCACCCCTCCCCCTGCCCGCCCTGTCCCCCGGACCCTGGGAATGGAAGACAATGTGGGATGGGGTCCACGCCCCCGTCTGAGGTACAGTCACTGCCCCTTGCCCCTCTGCCCCTGCTCTGCCCTCTCTCCCCGTCCCAAGCTCTGGGTGGTGTAGTTCAGGGTGGGTGTTTATAGAGGGTCTCCCGGGAGTTGGAGCTGGTGACTTGGCATCTTGGTCTGGGCTCAGGATGTCTGATGCCTCTCTCTCCCCCACCTTGTGTGATGTGGTGTGCCAGGGCGGGGTGTTCCTACAATCAGAGCCCCTTCCTGATAACAGTTGCCCATCCTGGGGGGAACTACAGCTGGTCACCAGCTACAGGACAGCTGGAGCCGGGGGGCTATTGCTGGTCACAGTCGCTGGTGTGTGTGTGTGTGTGTGTGTGTCTGAGTGTGTGTGAGGGTGGTCAGGTCAGCCTTTAGGAGGTTCAGCCGGTGGAGAGGCCAGGGAGTGGTAGCCCAGCAAGCCCACACCTGTGGGCCAGCTGCAGCTGGTTGGCGCTGCAGGTGGTCGAGGGGAGTGGGGGCAGGGTAGGGCAAAGCACTGAGACACACAGGTGACAACAGGCACCAGCCTGACATTTGGATGGAAGCACCGATTGGCCCAGGAGGGGGCCAGAAAGTCCAGGGTGGGGAGGGACAGGAAAAGTGGGAAGGTCTCAGGCCGCTGAGCCAGTGATGGGGCCTCCGGCTCCAGGCAGCCAGCCGGCTGACAGCAGGGAGGCCCAGAGCCAAGATGGAGATCGTGCACCTGCTCACAGAGGCTGAGTGACAGCTTGGCAGGCAAGCGTGATGGCCCTGCCTACTCCCAACCTGCCCAGGAGACAGCCTATCAACAGGGTGGGGAGCGGGTGGTGTGAGTGCATATATTGGGAAAGCAGGGAGCCTGGAAAACCTCTCCTCACAGCTTCCGGCACGAAGCCCCCATACCTACCTCTAGCCAGAGGTGAGAGACAGCAAGGTTGGGGGCAGTGGATGTGCGGCGTGTCGAGGAGGGAAGAGTGCTGAGCTCCCTTTCCCACCCATTCATACACACGCACACACGCGCGTGCAGGCTCACGCTCACACCCACTACACACACGCGATCCAGTTGACAGCCTGAGCTAAGAGACGGGTGTGGGGTGGCCGGGGATGGGTCACAATCGGAAAGGTGAACAGTGGCGAGAATGGCTGTAGAAAGATGCATAATTTTGCGTTATCCCTCACAGTGATGGGTTCTGTAAAGATCTTTCCTCCTTCTCTTCCTTTTCCTCTTAGAGCTCCTCTGCCCCCTCGAGACCCGCGGCGCTTGTTCCCCCTTCTCCTCTTGCTCTCGGCCTCAGACCGCCCGCGGGGGGACTCCAGGGCACTGGGTTCTTCCTACATCCTCCACCACAGCCAGCCCAGGGCGGAGAGGAGGGTCAGAGGCCCTGGGGGCCTTGGGGCCGAGTTCTCCAGGGATCCTGGGCCTGGGGAAAGAGAGAGGGTCAGGGGAGGAGGCCCAGAGTGGGGAGACCCCATGTGTGTCTCTCCCGAGCGTCTTATCTCTGCTCTGAGGGTGTGGTCTGAGGATGCCTCCTGGGGACCTTTCTGGGCTTTCACTCCGTGTGCCTGTCCTCTGACTGTTTTAGTCTAAGCATCTGGCTGATGACTGTCTTCTCCATCTGCAAAGCTCTCCCCACAGATCTTGGCCGGGCTGGCTTCTCCCGACCACTCAGGTCTCAGTTCACATGTTACCCCCTCCAGGAAGCTTTCTCTGATGAGCTTATCCAATGCTACCATCCCCAATTCTATTATTTATTTTCTTCGTAGCCCTTATTGATATGCAAATTTTTTGGCTTATTTATGTGTGTATTCGCTGGCTTTTCATTTTACTTATGTGTCTACTTGTTTATTGCGTTTCTACTACTGCTAGACTGTAAGCTGTGCAAGTCCCTAGACCTTGGCTCCTTTGTGCATTGCTGTGTCCCGAGCACCCAATGCCTGGCCCTTAGTGGGCGCCCAATGAATGTGTCTGTAGAAGGGATCGGTTTCTTGCTCAGTCGAGGGTGCGTCTCTTTCCTAAGTTCGGGGACAGTCTGGGGTCGGCCCGGCATCGCCACCTCTCTGGCCCCGCCCACTCAGCCCCGGCCCCACCCACGCCGCTCCGGCCCCGCCCCTCCTGCCGCTCAGGGACGCACGCAGGAGCCGCATGGAGGCGCTGGACATTCCCAGCCGGTTGGCTGCGCGACACGTGTAGTTGCCGTAATGCCGGGCGCTCACGTTGGCGAAGAGAAGCATCGAGCGGGTGCGCTCCGTCTGCACCTTCAGGCCCTCGGCCGTGCCACTGCTCAGCCTGCCGGGGATCCGGGTGAGGGACCAGGCCGCAGGACCCCGGCCCGGGGCCCTCTCCAGGCGGAAAGCCCAACCCCCTGACTGTCAGGCTCCCCGATTCCCTGGAGACCCTACATTCTGATCCCTACCCCAGCGACCCCTAGCCTCGGGTTCTAGCGCCACTACCTCGGGCCACTCCCGCAGACGCCCCTCTCCAGAAAGCCTAGCCCCTCAGGGACACTGGACTCTCTCAGTGTGTACCTCCGACCACTAGGGGCACCCAGGCCCCGCTAGACCCCAGATGTAATGGTCCCCTAACCCTAAAACTTCTCTGCCGGATCCTCAGTATCGACCCCCATCCCAGACCTTCTTCCTGAAGAGCTGGAGGAGACCAGGCTCCAGCATTCATCATTCTGGGACCCAAATTTCCAGTAAGCCACCACAGTTTTCCTGGGGCTCAGAGGACCCCAACACCTAGAAGCCGGACCCTCAAGTTCTCAGGAACCAGTACTCTGCTCCCTCTGCCCCCCTCCCCGCGGTCCAAAGGACCAAGGACCCCCCCCCCCACCATCACCACCACGGCCGGCCCCGGTGCCGTCCTCACAGTCTGTCATCCTTGTACCACTGGAAATCCGCGGGGGGCACGGCCATAGCTTCGCAGCGCAGGAGGGCGGCCCGGCCCACGGCTGTGCGGGCGCTGGTCACGTCCGTGATGGTGGGAGGATCTGGTGAGGGACCAGGGTCAGCGAATTCTCCTAGCCGGGTGCGGACGAAGGGGTCCCACCCCCAGCCCGCTCCTCTCTCCTTACCAGGAGTCCAGGTCTCCAGCATCCCCCCCAACAAAGACTCCTTCCTCGCGCAGACTCACCCCCTTCCTCCTCCCTCACACCCTTCATCCCCAGGGACCCAGGACCCGCCCCGCTTTCGTGCCCAGTGCCAGGGGGGCTCACAGTTGACTGTGACCAGCACGCGGCGGCTGTCAGGTGCAGAGTTAACCCCGTTGTGAGTCACGCACTCGTATTCCCCGGCCTGGCCCCGCTGGATGTCGTAAATCTCAAGGATCTCACCTTCCGAGGTGAAGCCATCTGTGGGGGGAGGGGAGGGGAGGGGGCGGGGCCAGACACAAACACTTAACACGGGACAACACGGGCACAACACGGACACACATCAGCGGGGCGGACAGCGCAGGGCCTGGAGTGCCCGGGTCAGTGGGAATGGGGAGGGGCTTGCCGGGCCTGGGATCTCCTGCTAGGGGTGGGGCACAGAATGAGAATCTGGGGCTTAGTAACTAGAACCCAGTGGGGAGGGTCCTAGAATTGGGGGCGTTCAGGGGATACAGCGATCTGGGAGTCCATAACTCAGATCGTGTAGCTCACAGGACCCAGTGGGGAGGATCCAGAGTTCTGGGATCTAGCCCTCGGGGCCCAAGGAATCAGGATCTGGTGACTGGGGTCAGCAATCCAGATATCTGGGGTCTCGTGACAGAGTGCTGGCTCAGGAGACCCTTTGGGACTCAGAGCATCCGGGGATCCAGAGACTCGAGCCCCGGACTGTGGGGCTCAGGTGAACCACTAGGGGAGGATCCAAGGACCAGAGACCTAGTTACTGGGTTCTGGGGTCCCAAGGGATCTACCGATCGGCACAACTGGTCTCCAAAGACCCCGTGAGTAAGGATCTAGGGATCTGGGAAATGGTAGTAGAGATCTAGGTAGAAGGGGAGTGGGTGATGTCTGGGACCTGGAATGTCCCTTTCAGGCCCCTTGGCTCTCTGTTTGGGGGCAGCCATGGTTCTTAGCCCTAGCACTGGAATCCCTTGAAGGGCTTGTTCAGACAGATTGTGGTGGTGATGTGGGGAGGGGTGGTTCTGACTCATGAGCTCTGGGGTGGGCCAAAGAATGTGCATTTCTGTCGAGTTTCCAGGGGACGCCAATGCTGCCAGTCTGGGGCCCACACTCTGAGAACCACAGGCCTAAGGCATCTGGTAGAGATGTAGTGATGCGAGCGGGAGACGGGAGTGTGGGCCAGGGCCGTGGCTGGAACCTGGCTCTGGCCATCTAGTGGTAGGGGTCTGAATCCAGGAGAATCCTGTGAGCTGGAGGGAAAGAGACTGAGGCTGCTGGGGTCGGGGATGTGGGGCAAGCTGGGATCTAGGAGGTGATTTGGAGGAAATGCCCAGGCCTGGGATGGCACGTGGGGAAGGCTCCAAGGCTCTGGGGTCTTCCAGTGAAATAGCAGGACCAGGGCAGGAGGGGGAAATCCAGTCATCACAAGGGTTCCGGAGGAATCAAGGGAGGGGGTCATGGGAGATCCTGGGTATCTAGCTAGGGATATGGGGAATTGAGGGGCCCAGACTGCGGAGTGGGGGAAGGGGCTTTCGGCCAGGGGTGGGGTCCTCACCTCGGAGCTGCCTCCAGGTGACCGTGGGCTCCGGCCGCCCCACGGCCAGGCAGAGCAGGTTCACATTGCTCCCCTCATTCACGGTCACGGGCGAAGAGATATTCACGATGCGGGCGGGGACTGCAGGCCGGAGGGAAGGTCAGTGAGAGGCCAGATGTGGGCTCCCAAGACCCAGGATCCAGGCCTGGCCCCTCCTCCTTCAGACCAGTATCCAGGCCCCCAGCTCCTCTCCCCTCAGACCCAGGATCCAGGCCCCCAGCCCCTCCCCCCTCAGACCCAGGATCCAGGCCCCCGGCTCCGCCCCCCTCAGACCCAGGGGTCCAGCTGACACTCCTCTTTCTGGAAGCAATCCTGTGTGTTCCATTCCCTCTGGGTCTGGCTGCTTCCCCAGCTGCTGGTCTTGTCTTCCTCACTCCTTCTCAGTCTCTCTCCACCTTCCTCCTAACTTGGTTTCTATTTTCTATCTTCTGGCCTGAATTCCTCCTTCCCCATCTCTGTTTTTATTGATTAGTATCACTATTAAAAAAATTATTTAACGAATGCTCCTATGGTGCTTCCTGTGTGTAAGTTTACAGCGTTCTAAGTGTTTGGCAAAAATTAACCCACTAAACCCTCACTACTCCCTTCTGGGGTAGATGTTGCTTTACTCATCAATTCTAACACCCAGGGGCGTTTCCCACCTCCACCCACCCGTTTGCACATTTCTCCAATCAGGATGGCTTTATGACGTAGTAGGACGCCAGTGTTTCACTGGGAGGGGTTTTCTGTTTTGTTTTTTTTCCATTTCTAGCCAGGCATAAAATAAAGGTGCCTCTTCCAGCTGACGATGTTTTGGACTTGATACATGACAGCGTCATCCCTGTTTTGCAGATGCGGAGTCTGAGACCGCCCGGCTCGCTCTGGGTCCCTCAGCCCCTGGGTGGTGGCGGTGAGCTTGGAACCTGGAGGAATCTGGCTTCAAGTCGGGGCTTGTCCACGGCCCCGCTGGGCTGTCCCTGTGGTCCTGTCTCTCCAAGTGCTCCCTGCACTCCAGACCACCTCTGATGCCATGTGAGGCAGCCTCCTGCCCTCTCCGTGGATTTCTCCAGCCCCACCTCTCCCACTCTGCGCATCCAGCCCCCGCACGTGCTGTTCTTTTTCCGGGACCAGCCCTGCACCCACCTGAAGGTCTCAGCTCAGACGTTATGTCTGGGAAGCTGCCTCTCCTTGGAAAGTCACCTCCAAAGGGGCAGGGACAGCCTGCCTGGCTCCTTCTCTGTCCCCAGCCCGCGGAGCAATGCTTGCAGGTAGCAGGTGCTCCGTAAACAGGGCTGAGTGAATGAATGCGGTCTTCCTCCGAGTCCACGCTCGGCCCTGTAGCTCTCCTGCCCTAGAAGTTGCCTGTGACTTTCCCTCCCTCTGCTTGGCTGGAATTCGTGGGGGCAGGGTGTGTGTCTGCCTTTCCATGGCGGTGTCCCAGGGATCAGCAAGGACATGAGGGTCCCCTGTCCCCTGCGCCCGCCCACCCCCACCAGGGCCGCAGCTGAGGGCTCACCGTGGACGATGAGGTAGACCTGAGTGGTGTACGGCTGGCGGCGCGTCTGGAAGGAGCAGGTGTAGAGGCCCTCGTCGCCCAGCCCCACCTGGGTGATGAGGATGGAGAACTCCTCGGGCGTGTTGGTGAGCAGGCGCACTCTCGGGTCACTGGTCCAGCGGTCGTTGCCCGCGTACAGGATGTTGGAGCGGTTCAGCCAGGCCACTCGGGTCACGTGCTCGTCGATGAAGCAGCTGGCGGGGAGGACGAGGGCAGGGTGGTTTTCTTCTCTCTCACACAACCCCCCCCCGGCCCTCCAGGGTCCCCCGTCACGGGGGCTTGGTGGGGGGGGAGGAAGGCCCACTGCATCTCCAGTTCCCACTGCAGTCCTTGGAGGCAGGTGTGACTGCACCCACTTTACAGGTGGGCAAACTGAGCCTCAGAGAGGGAGAGCTGTGAGCCCAAGTGCACAACAGAATGACAGCTGATGGTTATTGAGGGATTGTTGTGTGTCAGAGACCCAAAAGGAGGGGGGAAAGACACACTGGGGGAGAGGGACCCAGAGATAGAAGGACAGAGACCCAGAGAGAGGGGCTCAGAGACTCAGAGAGAGGGGGACAGACCCAGACTGGGGAGGCAGAGAGCTGGGGTGTGTAACCCTGGCTCTCACCGAGCAGGCAGAGTGTGCCAGGCTCTCTAAGCTCAGGGCGTGTGTACAGACTCTTGAATCCTCACAGCAACCCAGGTGGTGGTCACCATTCCTCCACCCATTTGACAGATGGGGACACTGAGGCCCAGGGGTGGGCCTGGGCCCAGAGGCTGGGCCCCAATGACCTCTCTCTTGATGGGGAGGTGTGGGCTGTGCCTGGAGATCAGGACCATTTCCCCCCAAGGAAGGTGAAGGGGCAGCACCCTCCGGGTCTCCCTACCTTAGCGTGGCGTTGTCACCTTCGCACACTGTGTAGTTGTCCGCAGGGGAGCTGAACTCCAGGCTCTGGGACAGCAGCCCTGTGGAAGGGAGGGCAGCTCAGCTCGGCGGGACTGTACACATCTGTATACACACACACACACACACACACACCCCTGCAGATACAGACACTTCCCACACCCCCCGGCATATATGTTCACTGTTGTTTTCAGAGACACACATGGCAGACACACTCAGAGCAGACACACGCAACACCTTCCCACAAGCCCACACTGACCCAGACAGACTGGGACACACAAACCTATGCACCTCCAGAGACAGCACACAATCACAGCACACAAACACACATGTATGTGCACACAGACACACAGACACCAATACATAGACACACTCAGAGATGCTGTGTACAGATGTGCACACACACAGACATATGCACAGATTCACAATTACAGAACTGCATATGTGCAGATACAAAGAGATACGCACAGATGTGCACACAGGTACGTATACAAGCACAGATACACATGTACACAGACACACATGCAGACATGGCACAAGGCACACACACACATGTTCACAGTGTACGACACACATACACACAGATTCAAGAACACACACATACATACACAGATATCCGCGTACACAGGCACACATGCACATATTCACAGACTCACGGGTACATAGATACACATATACACAGATACATATACAGATGTAACAGACACATGCACACGGATACACACAGTTACACACATTAATCCAGAAACACATGGAAAGACACGCTTCAGGGAGACCCTCGACACCCACATAAGTGCACAGACATCCAGACATGCAAACGCAAACACGCCTGCAAACGCGGATGGACACGAATATCCACGCGGACACACGTCTAGCACAGATGCCCAGGACGCGCTGAGGCGTGCTACAGAGCGCCTCGCGTCTACAGACTCCCCCGTGTGCCCGTGCCCGGTGGGGCACGCTCTTGAGGGCGCATGCCCACGCCGGCCTGCGCGCTGCAGCGCTCCCCCCACCCCCGCCATTCATCTCTCTGTGGACCGTGGCCAGCGGCTGGACCGGGGCCAGGGAGTGGGAGCTGCGCACGCGGAGGCGGCGGATGGAGACAGCACCAGGAGGGGAAAGGAGGCGGCCGGATGACCTTGGACGCCAGGGCGCACGGGTCTACACAGGGCTGCCCTGGCCCCCACCCCAGGATGAGGACCTAATTAATCTAATGAGTTAATTGCCCGTGCCCCGCCAACGACTCCCAGAGGCCCTCCGGGCTGGGCCAGAGCCAGTGCAGTGGGCTCGCCAGGCCCTGGGGGTTTGCAGCCCCTCACCCTGGGCTCGCCTGGGCCAGAGTCGCTCCTGTAATCTGAAGGGCCCTGGAGGGAGGGAAGGGACTTGCCCGTCCTGAGCTGTGCAGAGAGGATGCTGCCACGTAGAACCCTAGGAAGGAGGGGGCGGCCAGGGGACAGACACACACACACAGTCACCGGGGTCCAGGAAAGGTGCGCAGAGCCAGCCCCGGGGCCAGGAGACAGTCCCACGCATGGCAATGGGTCCTGCTCAGCGGGACAGAGACCTAAATACTCACGCTGACGCACGCAGCCCGGGACACACACCCAGCAGAAGGTCAGTTGGAAAAGACAGCTCTCTCCCAGAAGCACGCCTCTCTGCCACCGGAGGGACGTGGTACCCTGACCCGCCCCACCGTACACAACCGGCCCCACACGGGTACACTGACACCAGCGGGCCCTCACACGCAGGTGCAAAGTCTGCACACGGTTACAGCCCTACCTGGAGGGCTGTCTCTCTCTCTCACACACACACACACACACATACACACACACACACAGGCTGAATCGGTCACAGTGACACTACCAGCCGGAGGGCTGTGCTCATGCCCACGCCCTACCCTGGAAAGTCGTGCATGAAGATACGGCCTGTGCAGTGAAACAGCCACACAGTTGTAGCCTCTCAAATACAAAGGGGCTGCCCTGGGCCAAGAATCGGGCGCGTGCACTCACGCTGTCACCTCTGATCAGATCACACACGGCCCTATCCACACACCCGCCACCCCCTGGTCACACACATCCTAGACCAAGCTTTCTCCATCTCGGCACCGTTGACATTGGGGGCTGGGTGATCCTTCATTGTGGGGCCGTCCTGTGCAGTGTAGGATGTTCCGCAGCTCCCCTGGCCTCGACCCCCTAGATGCCAGTAGCTGCCCTGCCCCAACCAAAATTACATGGCCAGATACCTCCCAGGGGGCGAAATCACCCCACCTGCCCCCCTCCCCCCAGCCCTGTGACAGCCACTGTCCAGGGTTCAAGGAGGACAACCCCAGTCTGGGGGTTGCAGAGGAAGCTGTCTCAGGTGCCCCACTTCAGGGAAGAACCCGGGGCTCCTGAGCTCAGGCTAGGGCCCTGGGGTGGGGAGTGGACCTCACAGAGGTGGGCAGGATCTTGATCATAGGTACAGCAGACAGAAAGACAGACAGACGCGCACTCCTTGCCAGAGGGATCTTTCCAGCACTCGGCATGGCCCCCTGGAGTCCGGGGCCCCGGCGTCACTCTCCTGCTTCCTCTCCCCTAGCGTAGCCCAGCTCTGCATTTCCCACTTTTTCTCCCCTCTCCCTCCTTCCCACTGTTTCCCATCAAAACGCTTCTCCTTCTCCAGGGACCTGGTACATGGGGGCCTCTCCTAGGAGAGATGGCCCATCCGAGCCCATGCGAGCTCCCGCTCTGCTCCCACGGCTCCGTGGATCCGAGGTCTCTTCCCCCCCCAGCTGCCTCTCCAGGGCAGGGCCTGGCTCAGACCATCTGTTTCCCCAGCATTCCCAGCTGGGCCCTGGCTGCGGGCAGTCCTGGGAGATGAGTGATGAAGTTACCTCTTCGATTCCTCGTCTGTGTGTCTATAACTTTGGATGTTGTGGGTCTGCATGTCTGTCTCATGCAGTTCCCAGACTCCAGGCTCAGGAGGACCCTCCATGCTGTGTGACCTTGGGTAAGTCCCTTCCCCTCTCTGGGCTTTGGCAAATGGGGGTGGGGGTCAGGTTAGCCATTCCACCACCCTGTCACTGGGCCCAGCCCCTCCCTCTGTCTCAGTCCCAGTCACCCTGCACTGTTTTCAGGTCTGCTTTCCTCACCAGACGGGAGCCTCTTAGGGCAGGGCCTGGGTCTCCCCACCTCCAGCATCACCCAGCTCAGGGCCTGGTCCACAGGAGGCCTCAAGAGATGTTTAATATAAAAATAAACAAGCTAGTGCACATGAGGTCCCCTCTGCAGGAATTCTGCTTGGGAAACTCTTGACTCCCTACTCCCTCCAGCCCTAGTCTGTGTTCCCACAATGCCTGGACTACCTCCCTTACAGCTGTGGTGACTGTATCTGTCTCCCCCAGCACACTATAAGTTTCTTTTTTTTTTTTTTGAGCATACCACGAGGCATGTGGGATCTTTGTTCCCTGACCAGGGATTGAACACGTGCCCCCTGCAGTGGAAGTGCGGAGTCCTAACCCCTGGACCGCCAGGGAAGTCCCAGCTATAAGTTTCTTGAGGGCAGAGCCTGGGTCTGACTCAGGTCTGTATCCCCAACATCTTCCAGCACAGGGCCTGGCCTGGAAAGCCTTGGGAAATATTTGTTGAATGAGTGAATGTAAATGGATTCCTACAACATGCTTTGCCACCTCTTGGACTCTTACACATTCTTCAAAACCTCAACTCAAATGCCCCCTCCTCCAGAAGGACCTCCCTGACTGTTCAAGGCAGAGAGTCTCCACTCTCTCTACTGCGTACCCTCTGACTCAGCTGGGACAGTGTCCAGGGGTGTCTTCCCTACCTGGCCGGGAGTCCCCTGAGGGCCTGAATCTTGGTTGTGTCCCCCAGAGCTGGGCTTAGCTCTGAGCAGGGAACTGTTTGTAGAGGGGATGGATGGTCTCTAGAGACTCGCTAAGAAAGCCGTAAGGAGTCTGGGCTGATAGAGCAAATGTCTGTCCCCCCGTTTCTTGGCTGGGTGACCCCCGGCCAGTCTGAGCCTCAGTTTCCCCAACTGTAGAAAGGAGAAAAACAGTAGTGCGTCCCTCGGAGGGTTTTTTGTCAGGGATTCCATGAGAACGTGCAAGCAAAATGTTTAGCTCAGCACTTAGCAAGCAAAAAGGGCCCAAGAAATGCTAGCTGTTCCTAACAGCACCTTCTTTTTAAAGAAACATCTATTGTTATCCCCCGGTTCGGTGTCCGTCCCCCGGGAGTGGAGGGGAGGGGGCAGAGCAGGTCTGGCCTGCAGGTTGCTCTATGCCCAGCACCCACCCGAGTCGGCGACGCATGTACAGACGCGCTGTCAGCATCTGCTCTGCCACGACCACGCCAGCATGACCAGGCTGCTAAAAGAACGGACCGGGGAGCCGGGCTGCCAGGGTTGAAATTCCAGCTGTGCCACTGGGTTGCACAAGTTACTTCCCCTCCCTGAGACTCAGTTTCCCCACCTGTAAGTGGGGACGATCGTTGTGCCTCCCTCATTGGGTTGTGGGGGAGAGGATGAGAGGAGGTCACCCAAGCAACGGGCTCAATACAGTGCCTGCTAGTTAAGTGCTTGCAAACAGCTCTATGCGTGTTGGCTGATGGGATGCTAACGGGGCAGGTGCCAGCCTGGCGCGAGATCCAGTGGTGATGGGACGGACCACACGGGTCTCTGCCAGTCCAGACCAGTGGCTCTCATACCCGTTTGATAAACCAAGGGATGAAGGTTGCAGTGGGTGAATTCCCTTCTCTTGAGAGAAGGGGATTTCTGGGACTTCCCTGGTGGCGCCGTGGTTAAGAATCCGCCTGTCAATGCAGGGGACACGGCTTCGAGCCCTGGTCCGGGAAGATCCCACGTGTCGCGGAGCAACAAGCCCACGAGCCACAACTACTGAGCCTGCGCTGTAGAGCCCTCGAGCCACAAATACTGAGCCCGCGGGCCGCAACTGCTGAAGCCTGTATGCCTAGAGCCCATGCTCCGCAACAAGAGAAGCTTGTTGAAGATTAGCCCCCGCTCGCCACAACTAGAGAAAGCCTGCGTGCAGCAACAAAGACCCAACGCAGCCAAACAACAAAAAAAAAACAGAAAAAAAAAAAAAAAAAAAAAAAGAGAAGGGGATTTCTAACAAGCTGAGTGACCTTGAGTTGGAGATAAGAACCACCTGCCGCCCCTCAAAGGAACTTAGGTGGAAATGGGACCCTCCAATGCAGGGGATGCTTAGATTCCACCATCCCAGAACTCACAGATGGGGAACCCGAGGCCCAGGAGTGTGTGTGAACTTGTGGCGGGCGTCTGGGGAGCTGGTGGCAGAAGCCCGGCTGGAGGGAGGGGTGGGGACCACGTGAGTGCGGGTCCGTGTGGCTTTGGCAGGGAAGAGCCGTGAGAAGGGGCTGGGCCTGGTCTAACGGCCACGAGGAGCCCCCAGAGCCCTCTTCCTCTTTGCTGATCTCCCAAGTCCTTCTTATCACTGATGCCCGCAGTCTGGCTGCAGAGCCAAGAGCCCGGGAACCTTCCACATGCTGCCTGTTCCTTTCCGCTGGTTCTCACCGCAGGGCCTTTGCCTCTGCCGTTCCCTCGGGATCTTTCCAAGGCTGGTTTCTCCCGTTCTTTCAGTCTGAACTCCCCTCAGCTGCTCAGACACCACCTGAGGTCACAAGGCCAACTTGTCTGCCGAGTCATTCTTTTTTTTTTTTTTTCTCGGTACGCGGGCCTCTCACTGTTGTGGCCTCTCCCGTTGCGGAGCACAGTCTCCGTACGCGCAGTCTCAGTGGCCATGGCTCACGGGCCCAGCCGCTCCGCGGCATGTGGGATCTTCCCGGACCGGGGCACGAACCCGCGTCCCCTGCATCGGCAGGCGGACTCTCAACCACTGCGCCACCAGGGAAGCCCTGCCGAGTCCTTCTTATTTTCTCTACGTGAATCGTCACATTCTGAAATTAGCTGTTTACTTCTGAGGTTTTTTTTTAGTTTGTGGATCTCTCTCCATCCCACTAGGATGTAAGCTCTGCGAGGGCAGGGACTTCACTGCTGTGTTTATAGATTCCCAGTGCTTAGAACAGCGACTACGTGCTCAGTAAATACCTGTTAAATGAGCCGATGAGGCGGCGCCCCCAGTCCAGACAAACCGGGGGGGCCTGGGGGGTCCCCCACGCCCAGGTTCACCCTGTCCCCACTCCGTGTAATATGGCAGAAGAATTGACCCCACATCTGCAGCATCTGCTTTTGTACGTGGATGTGTGTGTGTTGGCATAAAGAATTTAAGGGGAAAAAAAAAAAAAAGGAACGATAGAATAATATCTACAGATGTTGGGGAGGTAGAGTTAAGTGGGGAAAAAATGCCAGTTTTGCAGAGAAATGGCTTTATTTTGTTTCTATCTGGGGAAAAACATCAACAAACTAACCAATCCCTTACAGATGCTGAACTGCGTGTCTGACGCTGTAGGTGGGAGAAGGCTGGGGACGCCGGCTCCCTCTCGAGAGTGGGTTTGGGGAGGGTGGGGGGGCGGGACACAGTGGGGTTTGCTTTTATGCAGATTTGTAGTGGATGCTTTCCTCCCTTAATCTGGAAACCATCCAATGAATAAAAGAGAGGAGGAGATGCAGTATCTTCCACTGGCTTTTGCTCAGCCCCAACGGTCAGAGGGTGGGTGAGGGGGGCTCTCTCTCTGCCTCCCTAATCCCGTCTCAGCTCATCCCCCACCCCGCCCTATCCCCCTTGCTTGCAGTTCTCTGATGGGGGACAAAAGGCTCAGAGATGGGACTGGACTTGACCTAGGTCACAGACCACCTCCTGGCTCCACTAAGATCCCAGCCCAGCACCTGTGAACAGCAGTGATTTCTAGGGTTCTGAAGAGTAGAAGTAGAAGGAAATGGGAAGTTACTTGAGAGTGAAGGAAGAGAGACAGAGAGAGAGCTAATGGGAGACAGCCAGAGACAGTGAAAGGACAGGGAGGAAAATGAGTGGGCGAGATGAGACGTGAGCTCCCAGAAGTGAATGGGGACCAAGGTACATCTCAGGGGCCAGAAAGAGGCAGAGAGACACACGTGCTGTGACATGGAGACGCAGTTCCAGAGGCGGGGAGGGACACATGTGAAATTGTGCTGAGCCCAGCAGGGATGGAGAGAAGGGGACCCAGAGACAGAGACAAACGGAATGTTACCCAGAGCCAGGGAGCCTCCGGAAATGGCCGAGACGTGAGAGAGACCTAAAGAGACAAGTGACAGAGACAGAGACACAGACAGGCAGGGATGCAGACGGGTCAAGTGGGAGGGGCACTCAGATGGTCTGCACCAGGGAGGGAGTGACCCTCCGGCTCAGCATCCTGTGTCCTGTGTGTGCAGGGCCGGGTCTATGTGACCCTGGGTGTCTGCAGGTGCGGCTCCGGGTCAGACCAGGGGGATGGGTGTCTCTGTGGCTGTGCGAGCTCGGTGTGTGTGGGCGGGTGGCTGAGAGCCGCTGTCGCTGTCTCGCTGAGACTGTTGGGGGTTCTAGGGTGTTCCCGATTGTGTGTCCCTGACTCTGTGATCCTGGCTTGGGGCAGGGCCTGGGGGAATGCTCTGGAAGCACAGAATTAACCCTGTCCCCTGCCCCCTGCCTCCTTGCTCTCCCCTCCTCTCCTCAGGGGGCATCTCCTGGACCATCCCCAGGTTGCCAGCCCGCTGGGGAGACACGAGATCCAGCTACACGTCCTCTAAACAGAGACTGCCAAGTTCACTCCCCAGTACCCCCCTCCCCACTTTCCATTCTCCCCTTCCTGCTCTACGAAAGACCAGCCCCAGTCCCCCTCCCCCACTGGGAGGGCTGAGTTTAACCCTTTGACCCCGTGTTAACCCTTCCCTTCCCTCCCTCCTCAATCTGCCCGTCTCTTAGGCTCCGTCCTGCCCCGAACCCAAATATCCAGCCAGAGCTTTCCACATCTGAGTCCCCAGACCAGCACCCCAACTTCTTGGATCTCCAGCTCCATTGCCCCCCACATAACGGCAACCGTCCAACTACCAATACTTTCTCCCAACCTAGACCACCCAGCTGGGGGATTTCAGCCGCTTCCCAGCTGGGAGACCAGACCCCACCCCCTTCTTTTCCCGGCCCTGGGACGGAGGTCTATAGACACCCCTGCCCCCTCCTCTTACTGACCCTGGGAAGACACCATCCCCCCAACCTTTCCCCAGAAACGCCTACCCCAGCCCTCAGGCAGGAACCCCCTGCGGGACCCTCTCCACGCAGAGATGAAGACCCCCGACGGGGCATCCCCCTTCCTACCCTCCTCCCACCCCCACCAACTCAGTTCAGACATTCTGCCCGGGGACCCTTACTTAGCTTCTGATCTCCCTCCCCGATCCCGAGCCGCAGACTCCCGCCCCCAGGCCGGGACCAGGTGTCCGAGACCCTCTCGCCGGCCCGGAGAAGCAGACCTCCGCCCCTAGGCCCAGGCTCGGGCCCCAGGACGCGGACCCCCGCCTCCGGGCATGGATCCAGACGTCCGAGGACCCCTTTCCCAGCCAGAGGATGCAGCCCCCGCCCCCGGGCCCAGACCTCCGCGTCCGGGGGCCTCCTCTTCCCTGCTCAGGGTTGCGCCCTCCCCAGCCCCCAATCCCCGCCTGGGACCCTGGAGTCCCGGCCGAGCCCCCCGCCCCCGGCGCTGCGGTACCTCGACTGATGACGGCCAGGCCGGCCAGGGCGGCGGCGGCGAGAAGCCGGAGCCGGGCCCCGGGCGCAGGGGGGGGCATCGCGGCAGCAGCGGCGCGAAGGGGGAGGGGAAAGGGGGGGCCGGTCCGGGGCGCGCGAGGCCTGGGGGGAGAGGGGGAGGGGGAGGGGGACCCCGCCTGCGGCTGCACCGGCCCGGGGGGCGGCGGGGGCGGGGGGAGGGGGCTGGGGGGGCGCGACGAGGCGGCCGGAGCTGCTGCAGACCCGGGGAGGGGGCGGTGCTGACGGGCAGGAAGGCCGACCAATCAGGGGAGACGGGGGGCCAGGGAGGCGGGGCCGAGGAGGGTTGCTCTTTGGAGGGAGAGGCCTTTGTTACTGCGGCCCGGCCCCTACCCCCTCCCGCCCCCTCGATCCACAGGGCTTCCCACCTCGGCTCCCTAGAACCCCGGGTCTGGGACACTTTTCCTGGAGCCCACCTCCCTCCTGCTTCAGGTCCCAATCTCATCCTCCCTCAGACCCAGAAATTCCGGCCCCCCAACCCCAGGAGTCCGGCCCCCAGCCCCCTCAGGCCCAGGAGTCTGCTCCCCAAGTCCCCACCTCCCCCAGACCCAGGAATCAGAACTCCCAGCCCCCTCTTCCTGTGGGACATAGTTCCGCTTCTCCATCTACTTTCATGAATAACACTGACTTTGGGGTGAAATTTCCTTCTTCTGTCCATCCCAACCCTCCTCCCCAGGATAATAGGGGAATGGGGAGAGACGGGGTGGGGGGGGACCTGACCTTGGGAGATGGTAATCCAGGGTTCAGGTATGGAGAATCCCCACTGCTCATTCTTTCAGTCACTTGGCTGCGGGCGAGACCTTGGACAAGTCACTTCTTTCCCCAGAATCTCAGTGTCTTCCCTGCAAGATGGAATCATCTCTATTTCTCAAGGTTATTGAGAAGAATAACGGAGATTCTGGGGAGGGTGCTAGCTCAGCCCAGTGCCCTAACAACCTGAAGTTAGCTCTTCCTCCTGGTCCCACTATACATCCATTTACCGGGTATAGTCCTCCCTCCTGGCCCACCAGGTGAGGCATCCCTGTCCCCTGTGCCCCCATCTAGCCTCTGAGGCAAGAGAACAATCCCTGAGCCTACTCCATGTCTGGGGCACTTGGAGGCAGAAGGTTTTGAAGTCACCCCCTAGGGGCTGTTTAACTGCAAAAGCACAGCCATCCTCTATTCCTCCCCCCAACCCCCAAATCCAATCTGTCTGCAAGAGAAGCTAGCTCGGCCTCCACCTTCAAAACAGATCTCTACTCTGTCCTCTTCTTCCCACTCCACCCTTCCCTGAGCTGTCACGTCTCCCCTGGATGACTGCTCTGAAGGCAGCAGCCAATGCCCTGGTCTCTAGGCCTCCACCTTCAGATCCACAAGCACTGAACTCATAGACCAGCTGATGCTACTGCACTGCCTCACTCACTCAACTCCAGCTGCTGTGGCCTTCATTCGGCTCCTTGAACAAGCCCAACTTGTTCCAACCTCAGGGCCTTTGCACTTGTTGTTACCTCTGCCGGAATGCTCTTCTCACCAGATTGGCACAAGACTCTTATCATTCAGGTCTCACCTTTCAGAAGCCTTTGTTGGGACTCCCCTGGTGGTCCAGTGGTAAAGAATCTGCCTTACAATGCAGGGGACCTGGGTTCGATCCCTGGTCAGGGAACTAAGATCCCACATGCCTGGGGCAAGCCCGCATGCCACAGCTACCGAGCTCGCGCACCTCAACTAGAGAGCCTTTGAGCCACGACTGCAGAGCACACATGCCCTGGAGCCCACGTGCCACAACTAGAGAAGAGAAAATCCACCACCACAACCAGAGAGAAGCCCACGCATGACAGTGAAGAGACGGCATGCCGCAACTAAGACCTGACACAGCCCAAAATAAATAAAGAAATTGAATAAAAAAATAATAAATCTTAAAAAATAAGCCTTTGTTGATCATGCTATCCAAAGTAACCCCCACTCGCAATGCAACAGCTCTCTGTGACATCGGTTTTGTTTTCTCCATAGCCTTTACCGTTCCCTTATTTCACGTGTTCACTTGTTTGTTTCCAGTCACTTCCCTTCTCCTCCATCTCCCGCTTCCAGAATGTAAGCTTTGCTAAGGCAGGGTTTTGTGCTTTTGTTTGTTTGTTTAATTGAGGTATAGTTGATTTGCAATATTATATTAGTTTCAGGTGTACAATATAGTGATTCAAAATTTTTATAGATTATACTCCATTTAAAGTTATAAACTATTGGTTATATTCCCTGTGCTATACAATATAATCCTATAGTTTCTTCCTTTTTTTTTTTTTTTTTTCGGTACTCGGGCCTCTCACTGCCGTGGCCTCTCCCGTTGCAGAGCACAGCCTCTGGACGCGCAAGCTCAGCGGCCATGGCTCACGGGCCCAGCCGCTCCGCGGCACGTGGAATCTTCCCGGACCGGGGCACGAACCCGCGTCCCCTGCATCGGCAGGCAGACTCTCAACCACTGTGCCACAAGGGAAGCCCCAGTTTATTTCTTTTATACGTAGTAGTTTGTACCTCTTAATCCTCCACCCCATCTTGCCCCTCCCCCCTTCCCCCTCCCCACTGGTAACCACTAGTTTGTTCTCTACATCTGTCAGTCTGTTTCTGTTTTGTTATACTCATCCGTTTGTTTTATGTTTTAGATTCCACATATAAGTGATAACATACAGTATTTGCCTGTCTGACTTATTTTACTAAGCATAATACCCTCCGGGTTCATCCATGTTGTTGCAAAAGGCAAAATTTCATTCTTTTTTCTTTCAGCTGGGTAGTATTCGTATATATACATATATGAATATTTATGCATTTCTCTGTTGATGGACACTTAGGTTGCTACCATGTCTTGGCTATTGTAAATAACGCTGCTATGAACACTGGGGTGCATGTGTCTTTTCAAATTAGTGTTTTTCATTTTCTTTGCATATATGCCCAGGAGTAGAACTGCTGGATCATATGGTTGTACTATTTTATTTTTTTGAGGAACCTCCATACTGTTTTCCACAGTGGCTGCACCCATTTACATTCCCCCCAACAGTGTAGAAGAGTTCTCTTTTCTCCACATCCTCTCCAGCATTTGTTATTTGTGCTTTTTGCTGATAGCCATTCTGACAGGCGTGAGGTGATAGCTCAGTGTGGTTTTGATGTTCATTTCTCTGGTGATTAGCAATGTCGAGCATCTAGGACAGGTGTTTTGTTTGTTTGTTTTCGTCTGCTTTTGTTCAAGGCTTATCTCCAGAGCTTAGCCCAGTGACTGACACCTCGTAGGTACTCAAAAAATATGTACTCTATGCATGGGTTGATGAGTTGCTAGCCCTATTAGGATAGATGGAGAGAACGAAGATCCAGAGAGGGAAAGGGACCCCCCTACGGTAACACAGCCAGGTGGCGTAAGAGCTGGTGGTGTGCCGCTGCTTGTTCACACTGATTTGTGAGAACTGGTGGTTAAGTTTGCAGGAATTTTCAAAATGGATGTTAAACCACTGTTAGCCTGAAATTGGACATGATGGAAGTATTTACACGGTGGCAACTGGCAAACACCACAAATCGGTACTTTTTGTCTGAGAGCCATTGTACCAACACACCCCTGTACAAAATCCATGGGGGTCCTGGCAACAGGTCATTTATTGCTTCCCTATGATGAGGCTTAGGTGAGGACAGGGTTCTCTCTTCCTGGAATGACCCATCCCAGGCCTGATGACAATATGAGCACTTCCTACATGCAGGCATCTTTCTGAGCACATTTTTACATTCTCCTTGAAGCCTTACGATGTCCCTGGGGGTGTGTCTTATCTTTACCTCTGTTTCACAGATGAGGAAACAGACATAGAGAAGTAAAAGCAGAGAAGTAAAAAAGTAAAGGAATTCCTCAAAGCTGTAGACACAGCTGAAGACATTTGCCATGTGTGTATCTGATAACGCACTTATAGCCAGACTATATCAATGTAAAGAGCTCCCACAAATCAACAACAAAAGAGACCACTCAATTTTTAAATGGGCAAAAGACTTGGACAAATACTTCACAGAAAGAGGATTTCTAATAAGCACCTGAAAAAAATACCCAACACCATTAGTCATCAGGGGAATCAAATCAGGACCACTCACTAGAATGGCTAAAAGGATTGATAGTAGTAAGTGTTGGCAAGGATGTGGAGCACCTGGAACTCTCATACCCTGCAAGCTTACTTGCCCTTTGACCTCAAGGGGGGTCTGGCCAAAGGGAGGCACAGGCAGAACACTGAAGGGTGGCTGGAGAATGCTCTGGTCCTTGCCCGCTGCCCTACGTTGGGGCCTGTCAGGTGGCCCCTTGGCCACGGCTCCGGTTCTCAATAAGGCCTCAGAGACACCATTTCTCTCCTAGTTCCTCAAGGACACGGCAGAACCTGGAAGGAATCTTTTCCTTTTGTTCCTGGTTCCTAGGAGCCTTACCATCCCTGTATCCCTAACCCCGCTCGCACCTCTGTGAATGGTACCTTTATCACAAAGTCTATTTAGGAATCCCACTGGAGGTGGCTGTCTCTTTCCGGCCAGGACCCCTGCTGTCCTAACACTGTTGGGGTTTCACAGTCGAGGCCCAAAGCCCCCTGAAGATGATGTTTAGAAGGTTCAGGAGTGTGGAAGATGCTTCATTTCATACCTAACAAGTGAAATAAAGATTCTGATGGCCACAGATACTATTTTTTCATACACTGGATAGGCAAAGTTCAAAGGACCCAGAAACACACCAGGTTGGCGATAGCAGTTGTCGACAAGAGTGAAATCGGTTCCCTTTCTATGAAGGTCACGTTGGCATCATCCCTGGAAACTATGTACCTCACCCTTAACCTTGAAAGTCCATATCCAGAGTTTTCTCCTGCAGGTGTATTCTCATTCATGCCCAACGGCTGAATGTAGCATTGTCTGCAGTGCTCAGAGGACAAACTACCTAAATACTCAACAAAGGACTGGTTTGATACATTGTATGTATTGATAGGCAGCTGGTAAAGAGTGAGGTGAATGATACGGACGGTGTGGTGTTCTGTGAGCGAAAGGAAGC